TCTGCTTCCCATCTGCAGTTTTAGCTAAAACAATCATTTTTTATCCACATCCACAACAATTTGGCCTCTCGCATCTGCAGAGCAGAGCAGCCATTCACTAAATGACACCCTAGTGGTATGAGCGTGTTAATGCACCTCATTTATAAACAAGGAAACCGCCCAGCATCATCTGGACTACCAACCAATTACCAATATGAAATTAATGCAAAACTTATTTCTTGTGTGTGTGTGGGGGAAGGGCTTATGAATAAAGATGGATTTTCTCATTAATGGAATGATAGCAATTCAACACATTACACATTTTCAAGTGTGGCAAATCGTGACTTGGCAATCTGACAAGAATGCATGCGGGAGAAAGTTTGATTTGCCCTGAGAAAACCAACCACAGTGGACTTGGAAATTGAGAACTTTCTGGTCTGGGTTTTTGTCTTGAGACTTTTGCATATTGCACAGCAAGGAGTTGGCAAGGTGGCCCTGGTGATCTTTTCTCAATGAGCATGCAGCTCCTTCTGTTCCCCAAGGGGTTGGCTGCCTCCATCTGTACTGGGCCCCTGTGGGGGCAGAAGCGGTTGGCTTGTTTTTCCGTTGTTGGGAACCAGCAAACAAACCCGTGCTAATGCCAGATGAGCAAACCTACGGAGGAAGAGTTATTTCAGGACTGAAGGGCTGCCCGGGAGGGGAGCAAGCTGGGCCAAGAGGAAGGCATTTTATCACAAGTCTATCCAGGGGGCGCTCTTGGGCCTCTCCTGTTTAAAGAAGGGAGAGCTGGAAATGTAAGGGGAGCCAAGTATTTCAGGCTAGAGGCCAGACTTCATTCCTACAAACGTCCTCCCCTGGTGGTTGCTCAGAGGAGAGCCCACCTGCTCCTGCCTCTCCCTCACCGTATGTCTCAGCAGGCCCTGGGCCTGCTTGGTGGATCCACGCGTTTGGAGAAAGAGAAGTCCTGAACCAGAAGTCTTTAGTTCAAGACCCAGCTCTGCCAGCTGCTAGAAAGAAGTAGTTAGTAAGATGGAGGAGTCGGGGGTCTCTTCCTGAGCCTCAATTTCGTCACCTATAAACAAAACAAAAATGGTAACAGCTTCCTAACACAGGGTCCTCTTGAAGAGCAGATGAGCTAGTGAAAATGCAATCAGTTTATTTTTTTGTTTGTTTTCTTAAATATATTCTTATTGATTTCAGAGAGGAAGGGAGAAGGAGAGAGAGAGAGAAACATCAATGATGAGAGAGAATCATTGATTGGTTGCCTTCTGCATGTCACCACACTGGAGATGGATCCTGCAACCTGGGCATGTGCCCTGACCGAGAATTGAACCGTGACTTCTTGGTTCATGGGTAGATGCTCAACCACTGAGCCATGCCAAGCAAAGACCAGGTGGCTGCAGGAATAGATGGCAACTTGAGCTAAAACACTATACAGCACATAAAAAGCACTTTACCTAGAAAGGGGTCACAGGAAAAGGGGGGACATATATAACACTTTCAACAATAAAGATTAAAAATAAATAAATAAATAAAAACATATCCTTGGGTGAGGATTAAAAAAAGGTAAGGGGCCCTGGCCAGTGTTCTCAGTGGTTAGAGCATTGTCTTGTGCACCGAATCTATGCAATGGATTTCATGTGACATGGATTTGGTGACCACATGTGTTGGGACACTTCATTTACACAGCCAAGAAAAAAATGAATAAAAGCATTTTACAGCCTTAGCTGGTTTGGTTAAGTGGGTAGAGTGTCAGCCTACAGACTGAGAGGTCCCAGGTTCGAATCCAGTCAGGGGCACATGCCCAGGTTGCCAACTTGATCCCCAGTAGGGGGCGGGCAGGGGGCATCCAATCAATGATTCTCTCTCATCACTGATGTTTCTCTCTTTCTCCCCCTTTCCTTTATTCTCTGATATCTATACTAATAAAAGCCTAGGTGGTTCTCGAGCCCCTGCATGATACCCTCACATCATCACAAGATGGCTACCACAAGATGGCTGGCAGGGGAGGGCAGATGGGGGAGATGAGGCCAGCAGGGGAACAGGTAGGGGGCGATCAGGCTGGCAGGCAGAAGCAGTTAGGGGAAATCAGGCAGGTAGGCAGGCAGGTGAGCGGTTAGGAGCCAGCAGCCCTGGAATATGGGAGGAATATCTCATAATCTATTATATGGGGATCAAGAGTCCTGATTCTCCCAGGATTATTGTGAGGAATGAAGCCATTCATTCAACTAACAGGAAAAGGGACCCCAGAGATAGAATTAACTTATGGGAGTAGAAGTGGGACCTGAGCTGAGACCACGCCCTAAACTGGCAGTCGGACATCCCCTGAGGGGTCCCAGATTGGAGAAGGTACAGACCAGGCTGAGGGACACTCTCCCCATGCCCAAATTTCATGCACCAGGCCTCTAGTAAGAAAAAAAAATATTTTAAAAAGCATTTTACAAATTCCTATGGTGCTTTGTATTGATATTATCTAAAGGATTTTATGTAGCCAGAAAGTCTAAGAAATCCCAGGTGTTGGGCCCAATTATATGTTGTCCAGTCCCTTTACAATTAATATTTATCGGAGTGGCACTGCAGTGGGATTAAATGGGCGACAACATGAAGAATGCATCCCTCTTGCTCCCAGCCTGGAGGCACCAGAAACAATAGAAGGAACAGTGGAGGAGAAGCCCCTCTCTTCAGTATTGGTGAGGTCAGCACTAACTTTGATAACAAAATAGAATTTCTGAGAGTCTAATACTTTTCTTAAAAAACGATTGTATTTTTGAAGCCAGGTCAGTCAGCATTATTTGGGCCTGAAGTTAGTACATTAAATTTCATCTCTCAATGTTCTTTCCGACATCACTTTTTAGAAAAAAAAATCATTTTCTCCTTTATTAAAATCTATGGTGACCGGTGAAGGCAAGGACCATGGACTTGAAGCACCACTCTTCAAAAAAGCCAGAAAAGAGGAAGATGGCTTATTTTATTTTTTAAGATCACCTGGCACATGTTTGAAAAATAAATCCATCTCAGAAAAACAAAACAGCATTTAGCCAGAAATCTAATATAGTTCCCGAGTCTCTGGTAGAAGCAACCCTACTCTCAAGAAAACAGCAGCTGTCTGTCTTTCTAGAGAGATCTTTTTCTCTTGCTTTAGTTCCCCTCTGAAATAATGAGCCGATGTTTGTGACATCACTGGGTTGCTGTGGGAATGTTTATTTCATAGAGGATTTCGACCTCAAGTGGGGAATTGGCAAGAGGAAGTGCGAACTCTTAGGAAAACACAACTGGTTTGAAGAAAAATGGACAACATTTGGAAAAAGACTCAGAAACAAAACCAAATAAATTGCCTGTAACAGGTTGTTTTAAGTATTTTTTTTTTTGTGAGAACTCAAATACTTATAAGAGCATCTTACACAGATATGTCCATTTTTATTTTGAAATTTGCTTACTATAAATACTGTACAAAGAGTTGTGTGGGGGGGAAGCAATTAAGGAATGTCTTTGTGCAGAAACAAACTTTCAGCTACACTCAATCATTAAGATTGAGAAAAAGGTTGGTTTGATCCTGATATACCATCGTGTTGTGTGTGTGTGTTTACCTTCTCATAACATATGACAGACTTAATAGAACAGCTCGAAGTAAAGAATTGAAGCTGAAGGGCCTGAATTTTAGTGCAGCAGCTACAAAATCCGTTTTCATTTTTAACCATTAAATCAACAGAATGCCAAAGTGGAGCCTTTCTTCCTGCTGGGGCAGTATTGTCCCCTGAATCCACTTTCCAGTTCTCTCAACCTAGCCTAGTTCGATGTAGCGTTGACTTAGCCTAACTACAGCAACTGGCCAAAGGAAGTGGGTTTGCATTTGGGATGGCAGGCGGCGGCCACGGGTGTGCCTGTGCTTGAGTGTGTGTGTGTGTGTGTGAGTGTGTGTGTGTGTGTGTGTGTTTGTGTGTGTGTGTCTGTGCGCGCGCGCGCGCGCGCGATCGCGAGGGACCAGAGGCGCCGGGAAAGAAAAGAAAATCGAGATGTAGCAACTGTGTGCAAATTATTTCTCCGTGGCTGGAAGAGGGGTCTCCGCACGGGAAGGCAATTTTAGGAATTCAGGAGGGGGCGGGGTGGGGGTGGAATCTTCCAAGAGGGTGAGAGCAGGGCCAACCAGGAGGGCTCGGGGCGTAACGTGGAACCTGTGCGTTTCCGCGGGCATCTCTCCCCAACCCCCCGCCCGGGCTCCGGGCGCCCCACTCCCCACTCCCCCACCTGCCCGCGGCCGCACCCGCGCTCCCCGCCGTCCCGGGGCGCGCTCGGCCCGGCGGGGAGGGCGGCCCGCGCCCGGGGGGGGGGGGGGGGCTGCGAAGGTCTGGCGGCGCGGGCTGATTTAGTGGCCGGGGCTGTAGTACAGGCTGTCCCCGGCGCCGGCGGAGCCAGCGCGCCCACGTGACGGGCCTGGCTCTCCGGTGAGCTCCCCAAACAGACGCACACCCAGCCCCGCGAGCGCGCGCGCGCACCACACACACACACACACACACACACACACACACACACACTCACACACACGCTGCACGCACCCCCCGCGCGCGCACCCGCCCGCCGCTGCGCCCTCCATCCCGGCTCGCGCGCTCTCCCGCCCTCCCGCCTCCCCTGCGGTCTCTCGCTCTGCGCGCACACATCGCACACACGCACACGCACACGCACACACACACGCGCACACACGCAGCCGGCACAGGCGGCGGCGGCGGCGGCGGCGGCGGCTGCCCAAGTCAGGACGAGCCTCTCCAGGTACCGTCTTGAGCTGGAGGCGGCGGCGGCGGCGGCGGCGGCGGCGGCAGCCCGAGCATCACTCCGCCCGAGAGGCAGCGCCGCCAGAGTTTCCGTTCCCTTGGCCGTTCCCTTCCCCTCCTTTTCTTTATTTTTCGAGAGGATTTCTTCTTCGCTTATTGATTTGATTTGATTTAAAAAAAAATTTTTCTGTGTGCTCCCCCCCACCCCCCAACCACCACCCCCCATTTCCTCCTCATTTTATTTGCATCCAGAGCATGGCGGGCTGCGGGCTGTCGGAAGACACCTTCTTCTCTTCCTTCTTTCCCAACTACGGCTCCTCCTGGGAAACCCCTTCCAGCCAGGTAAGGGGGGGCTCGGGGCCGGGAGGCGGCGCGCTCCGTGCCCCCCGCCGCGCGCTCACTTGGCACTCGGCGGGGAGGCAGAGGCTCGGGAGGCGGAGGGGGGGTGCTGGGGGGGGCAAGTGGGTCGCACTGTCTGGGTCAGTGCCAACCGGCGAGAGGAGGTGTCCCTCTTCCCCCCCTTCCCCCAGCACAAGCTCTCCAGTCTCCAGGGTCTGTCGCGTCCCTCCGGTGCCCAATCTGCCACCGACACCTACCCCGCCCCCACCTCCCAGCCCAGCGGGAACCCAAGAAAAGAAGCTGGAGCCCGCACGTTACCCCCCGAACAACTCCGGGCAAAACCGAGGAACTCGAGCGCAACCTTCTTCAAGTCGCCGCGGGCGCCGCGCCCCTGCGCGCCCGGCGCCCGCCCGCCCGCCCGCCCTCCGGTTGCGCCGAGGGGCTGCGGGGCCGCGAGCCCCCCGCGATGGGCTCTTCCTCCTCCTCCGCTCCCCCCGGGCCCGGAGCCACCTCTTCCCCTAAAATGGCTGCAATCTCAAGTGGAGGCGTCCCCTGACCCCGCGGAGGGGGGAGGGCAGAGGGGATGCTCCGGTGCCCAGAACCCCGCGCCTCCCTCGGCGCGCACAGACACCCCACCACCACACACACTTAACTTTGATGACTGTGCAATGCAGTCTGGCTGCATCGTGCCCTCCACACTCCCCCCCGCCGCCGGCCTCTAGGTGTGCATGTCGGTGTGACGGGTGAAGGGGGGGTAGGAAGTGGGGGGAGGTAGACTCCGGAAAAGGGGGGGCGTGGAAGCAGATGGGTGTTCGCGGGCCACTGGGAACCTGGAAAGGCAGGCGTGTGTGCTCAGGTTCTAGGGGTGCAAAAGCTATTCTGGGAGGCAGAGCGAGAAAGAGAGAGAGGAGGAAAAAATGCCTTTCAATGAAATAACTGTTGTCGTCTGCTGCCCCCACCGCACGCTCGGTGAAAGTCTACAGGCATCTGTCATTCCCAAACTGCACGGGGAAGTGGAGCTGGAGTCGAGGGAGGAGGTGTGTGTGTGTGTGTGTGTGTGTGTGTGTGTGTGTGTACGCGTGCCCCGGCCCAGGCTGGGAAAGTTGGGGCCCGAGGCGAGGTGAAGGGGGGCGGGCACTCGGGGGGCGGTCGGGGGCGCGGGGATTCCCGGGATGCGGAGCGCGCGCCGTGCGGGGGGCGAGGGTGGGAGGCAGGACGGGCCGGCGGGGGTGCGGGGTGTCCAGGAAAAAGAGCTCAGTCCAGCCCGGCTCGCCCAGCCGCCTTGGCGTCTCTTCTTTCCAGCCCGCCCGCCAGCCGCGGCCGATCGCAGGGCCGCCCGCCGCACACGCCGCCGGCTCGGCGCGCTCCCTCCCGGCCCCGGGTTCCACGCGCTCCTGCGAGCTCCCCGCAAAATCATCCAAAACCCTCAGGGCAAAACAACTAAAAAAATGTGCTCCACCTCTCCCGCGGCACCCCCCGTTTCCAAAAACCCTGTGATCGCCCAACTAGGAGTTGCCAGGTGGAGAGCCGGAGCAGCCGGAGCGGCCGTCCCGGCGGATGTACATCAGGCGCCCGGGGAGCCGTGGCCCGGCTCCGGCCGCCGCGCAGCACGGGAGGCGGCGGCGAGCCCCGGCCAGACCCAGACCGCCGGCCGCCGCCGCGGGAGGGCGGGGGCGTCTGGGCCGCTCCCGGGAAGGGTGCCGGCCGCTCCCGGGGGAGCTGAAGGGCGGGCCAGGCAAGGGACAAGGGGATTCCGGGTGAGGCACCCGGGGATTGGGAGGCCCCGTTGTGAGTAGAAAACTTGCAGGAATGCCGGGGTGGTCGCGCCAGCGCTGGAGTTGGGGGGCTCGGGGAGTTCTATGCCGGCCCTGGGGGGCCTTTTCCAGGCCATCCTGCCCCGTCTGGCGGGTCCTGGGTGTGCTCTCCACGCCTCCGGGTGCGGGGTGCGGGCTTTACAGATTGCCGGGAGCCAACAACCCTTTTGGTTTTGCAAACTCCAGCTCTCCGGGAGCGGGCGTCTGCGCACCTGTGTGTGTGTGTGTGTGTGTGTGTGTGTGTGTGTGTGTGTGTGATTGTCAATGAGTCAGAAACAGACCGCAGCTCGCCTTTTAAGGACCAAGACCCCGGAGGGAAAGGCTCGACCCACGCACCCCGCACGAGCCCGGCGGGGACTAGGGGTTTCTCGGCCGCGGCTCCCCCCCTCCCTCTTCCGCCCCTTCCGCCCGCCCCGCCTGGAGTCGGATCGGATGCGTTGGGATAAGTTTCCCCGTGTCTCTCCGCCCTGCACCTCGGGGCCGCGCCGCTTCGCTTTCCTCAGAAGGAGAGCGAGCGGGAGACTCGGGTGTGGGGAAGCACGCCGCGATCCGGCTTCCCAGCGACGACGGGAGGACTGGCAACAGCTTTCATGAGATAGGAAAGAAGTCGTTTGGAGCGTTTGAAAGCGAAAGGCTGCGGCCAGATTTTTGCAAGACAGGCGGTCACGTGCCGGCTCCTTGGAAACCGGAGGAGGAGGTGGGCCGGAGGGAGGGGTGCGGAGCGAGCCTGGAGCGGAGGAAGGGGAGAACCGAGGAGGGGGTGGGGACGGCGTCTTCTTAACAAGAGGAAGACTGTCGGGTTCTTCGGGGAAAGTTAGTTAAACTTGGCTTGGAAAAGCATTCTCTCTCCCCTCCTCAAAGGCAAGATCTTTCTTCTAGGAAGGGAGCCTCGTGCTGCTAAGAATATTGGGAAGAATTTCTGATCCCGCGGCTGGCGCTGCGCTGGGGAGGCCGGCTCGCCCCTCGCAGGCGGGGGACTGGGTGGTGGGCTCCCCTCAGCGCAGAGGAGTGGTAAAGTGGGGAGAGGAAGATGATTTGAAATATTGATTTCTTCTTCCAGAGGCGCTGTATGAACTTTAAGGGAAAGTACAGGAACAGATGAGCGGTGGACATCATGTAGAGGAAGGTGCCCTCAAGTGCTACAGAAAGCCTTAATCGCCGGGGGTAAATGCAGCCAGGCGGTGCGGTTTCCTATGCAGCCAGCCACACCACCATTTCCAGGGATGAAGCACATACGTGCATAAGGACCGAGGTTCTTATTGATTCCCAGTTTGCCCTTTCAGCGTTTGAGCGTGGGCAAACGACTGAGAAACCTACTCCTCCCAACTCTGTTCCTACGGAGGAAACACACACACACACACACACACACACACACACACACATCCAAAGGCAACGCTTTCAATCGCACCTTCACTCTGGGCAGGGCTGCTGGGGAGAGGAGGCCCAGGCCAAATTTGAAGGAGTAAGACTTATTCATGATTTTCTTTCTTTCTTTCTTTCTTTTTTTTTTTATTTACCTGAGTTGCTGCCAAAAAGCTTACAAATGCTCCGTTCCCTAAAAATAGCAACGCTCTTCTAATATAATTTGTTTACTCTACCTCAATTAAAAACAAAACTCTCTTCCTAATGTATAAAGTACTTACGAAAGTAAGGGTTGCCTGTGCTAAAAAAAATAAAAAAAAATCAAGCTTTTTATTTCTAGATCAATATGATGTGCTCTCAACAACTAATACCATGTAAAAGGAGCCTTTTTACAACATCAATAGCAGGCAGGCATGTCTCCCCGAGAAGCTCGTTTCCTGGAATCACAAGGCATTTTTGATTACTTTCATTTTCACGAGAAACCTGATTATGACACCTCTGGCTATAAACAAGCAGGTGGAAAACACAATGAAGGTGGGGGCTCTTTACCCAGAGGCCTGGACATTGGGGAACCACGAGGGTATTTTTTTTTCCACTGCTGAACACAAAAACAAAAACAATTATCGTTGGCCGGGAGGACTTTAGTTACTCTGTGACGTCCTATTATTAAAGCTGGGGGTGGTGGGGATTGGGGTGATTTTTTTTTTTTTTTTTTTTTTTTTTTTTTTTTTTTTTTTTTTTGGAGAGAGCCCAGTGTGTATCAGAGCTGAAACTGCATCTGTTACCATTTAAACACCGGGAAATTCCATCTTATAGCTGAGGAGACCGTGTTGTAGACATTTTGCACCCACTTGCCAATGTGTAAAACATACTATAGGGAGAGAGAGAGTGTGTGTGTGTGTGTGTGTGTGCGCGCGCGCGCGCGCGCGCGCGGGCGCGGGGGTGGGGGCAAGCATCTGCTTAGGTGGAATTTATTTCTTCAATTAAAACGAAAACCCCAATTAAAGTGTGTATATGAAATGCCTCTGATTTGGCTCCGTGCAACAGACAACAGACCATTCTTTAATTTACAGCTTCACGCCTAGGGATGGCAGTAGTGCCAGCTTCCAAACCCAGCTTTATCTTCTCACGTTGTGCTTTGCAACCTGCGCGTCTCTCCTGTAGTTGTTTAAGCTTTCTGTCTCCTCCGTGAAGCCGACTGCGGCGTGGTCATTACGGCCTGCCGTGTGGACCTAGGTCACCTTATTAGTTGTCACTAGATAAGCCCAGATCGAAGCAGGCCAGGTCTGTATGATATTGAATCAATCCATTGAGAGTGAAAAATGGAGCCAATTAGCCAACTGCTTGGGTGTCCATGAGGCCAGGCATCTGACTCGATTCACCTGATTGACCAGGTTTTTTTTGTTTTTTGTTTTTTGTTATTGGATAGCTGAACTTCAGTTTGTGAAAAAGACATTATCAACGGACTTGACTTTGCTCTTTTTTAACGTTTCTTTCTCTCTCCCCAAACCCCTGCCATTCCCCCAGATTTTCCAGGCTGGCAATATAAAATGGCATCCTTATAAGGAGACATATAACTCCTCCGAGTAGGCAGTGTCTGTGTGGAATCCAGCTCTGGACTTTTGTTACCCAGTACCTGTAATTCTTTGTGCTACCTCTATCTTTTCAAGCAGCGTAGACTTTTCAATGCAGAATCGTTAATGGATGTGGGTAAGTTGCTGAAAGCTTGTGCTGGCTGCCTTTATTTATTTATTTATTTATTTATTTATTTATTTATTTATTGGCTTGGCACTACTTTATGCACATGGGTAGCCAAAGTGGAAAGCAGCCCACTGAGGACCAGCTCTTTCTCATGCAGTCCAAGGGCCATAAAGGATTTAGTATTTCCCCCATCTTTTCTGGGTGGTCAGAATTCGCAAAGTGGTAACAATGTTTGGATCCCTGGCGACTAGCCAAGCCTTGTAAATGTCCTCCATTTACAAAGTTGCTAGAAAGCCAATATCTCAAAGTTCAAAAAATAGAAACGGGCTTCTAGACATTGCAAACGTTTTTGTTTTTCCTGAAGATGTATTATGATCTACAGAATAGGTGTCAGGCACATTTCTACATACTTGCCTTTCGTAGATACGTTTTAGAAATCTGCCTATAAACCCAGCTCACCTGACCTCACTTTTCCAAATATTGGGTTCTTGTAGGGAGACCAAAAAGTACAAGAGACTTGTAATAACTTGCGCTTACTGGGAGGTTTTCCAGTAAGGCTAGCTTCCTTAAGGCAACCTAAAAAAAATGTTTCTTACTTTCCTTTACAAAGTTCTGGGAATCAAAGAGTGGTGACAATAGCTATCCTTCCATTAATGATGTTCCAAACACTTTGCATGTATTTGACTCACTTAATCTCCATGGCAACCTAAGGAGTAGGTACTTTTATTATTATTTCCATTTTACAGATGAGGAAAGTAAGGCAAGTAGAGTTACATATCTCAATGCTATGTAGAGGCATTGGGATATCCTCCAGGCAGTCTGTTTTCAGAGCCCCGAGTGCAGAC